GGCTCTGGGCAAATGGACAGAGACAGAACACAGGAAATACTGGACTTCAAGGCCAGGACATAGCCATTCTAAGGAGCTTATGGAGTATCCTTCGAAGGGAAGAGCGAATGAGCTAATGAGCTTGAACAGAATCCGGCTCAGGAGAGTGACAGGACTCATAACGGGACACTGTCACTTTAGGAAACATCTACATAAGCTAAAGCTTGTAGACAATCCGGTCTGCCGAGGATGTGAATCGGCGGATGAAACTTCTCTGCATATCCTGGGCGAGTGCCCGGGATTTGCACGTAGCAGAATGGCGCTCCTTGGGAGACCCTATTTAGAACACAAGGAACTGAGAGAAGTGTCAGCAAGGAAGCTTTTGGACTTTGTAAAAAGGACAAATCTACTTGCTGAATAGGACTAGTAGTGGGACGCACAATAGGCCTAATTAGGCCGCAGTGCTATGGGACTTTTTAAAGGACCAACCACTAGATGAAGATGAAGAAGGAAGAAGTCCAATCAATAGGTAGAAGGGCTTACAAAAAATACCACCTGGATACAAAAAATATGGTGATATACGAAAAAAAAAAAATTTAAGAAAGATAGTGTATTTTTCCTGTGGCGCATAAATGGCGAAGTTAACCTAAAAAATTCATAAAAGGAAAAAAAACGGTTTTTCGCTAATAAAAAAAAACTTGAACTCCAATTGAAAAAAGTTAAATGACAAAGTTGTAGCTCTTAAAAAAATCTATCAACTCATATTTTTAAATATATCGATTGCTATATTACTTTTCAAGATATATCGAAAAAACCGTCAAAAATCGACTTTTTTTGTTTTTGCTGTATCTCTTGCAAATTAAGGTTTTGAAACTTGTTATTTGCTGTAAATGTAGCCCTCGTCAAGCAAAAAAGTGCCTTTTTTTAATTAAAAAATATAAGAAATTTTTCGAAAAAAGGTCATCTCGAAAATCGGCTGTTCCTGCTCGACGAATAGTCCTAGAGAAACAAATCAGGGCTCATTTTTTTCCTTAAGAGTTGTACTTTCATGGTAAAAAAGAGTGATAATGATTTTATTCATTTTAAGTGTCCAAAAATGAATTTGAAAATAGTAAAAAATTTTTTGTCGCATTTTTCTTGAATATCTTTTTCGATTTTCAGTTCTCAATGATGTCTATTGCAGGAATCGACTGCTGGAATTTTTACGCGAATTTTAAAAAAAGAAACGTTCCTCTACAACCTTCTGAAGCCGAGATAATTTTTTCTTTTCAAAAAATTCCACAGGCCGCTATTTAAGTGCTACAGCAACCATTCTTACAGTGATTGAAGTTGAAGGCTTATATTTTCAATAAAAAAATACTTTGGTTCATTTTAGCTACTTCTGCATTTTTAATTGTGCGTCATACCGAAGCATTCGAGCCCAGCGCGAGCTGACTGTAGCGGGTGGCAGAGTGGGGGTACCGCTACTTGGCCGCTCCGAAAACTGAATTCGCGCATTCAAAGTGCTCTTACTTTCAAAATCTTCATTTTCTCGACTTCTGGATCACGTACAAAAATTCTTTGCACTTAAATAGCGGCCTGTGGAATTTTCTGAAAAAAAAAAAAATTGTGTCGGCTACAGAAGGTCGTAGAGCAACAGTTTTTTTATTTTAAATTCACGTAAAAATGCCAGCAATCGATTCCTGTAATAGACATTATCGAGAAAGAAAAAAAGTTTAATTTGTAAGAGATACAGCAAAAACAAAAAAAGGTTGATTTTTTACAGTTTTTTTTTATATATCTCGAAAAGTAATGTAGCAATCGATTTATTTAAAAAGACGAATCGATAGGTTTTTTTAATAGCTACAACTTTCTCATTTCACTTTTTTCGATTGTAGTTCAAGTTTTTTTTTTATTAGCAAAAAACCGTTTTTTTTTCCTTTTATAAATTCTTTAGGTTAACTTGACCCTTTATGCGCCATAGGAAAAATACACTATCTTTTTTAGAATTTTTTTTCCTATATCACCATATTTTTTGTTTCCAGTTGGTATTTTTTGTAAATTTAACATAAGACCGTGAAAGATTGATTGGACTATACATGCCTCTACTCTGTGTCGGTTCTTGTACAAAACACCCTGTATAAACAAGGATTACAGCATTTTAAAGTGACGATATTAAAAACTAATATCCACGTAATGGAAATAATTTTTTACTAGACAGAAAAAGGAATCTAACAATTTTAATCACATCTTTTATAACCATGTATGTATTATAGGTCTTGTTTTTTTTTTATGTGTTTTTAGTCAGACAACAAAACAAACTCCCCCAAAAAAGAACCCCCGTCACACTTATTTATACCATAAACAAGTGTTACTGGGAATTTTTGAGAGTGCCGCTATCCAATATTCTCATACCAAAGTTCACTCGCTGTATAACTACAAATATTTAAACAATGATTCCAGGTATTACAAATTTTTTTATAGAAATCGTCCTCCAACTAAAAACTTATTTACATACACTTAATCCATATTCGAGGCCTTACGATTTCAAATTAAGGGCAAACAAACGATCAACGTACCTTTTCCAGCTGTTCCCTGTATGTCTGACTGAACTCCTCGCCGCCCATTTTTTTCTTGTTGTCGAACTGCTGGATGGCCTTATCCTTGACCTTGCGGTGCTCGTTATCGATCGCTTCAGTCTTGAGATAGGGTTTGGCGCCCCCGCAGATCTCCTCCATCATGGTGACGTACACGTCCTTGGCGTCGGCGACGGCCGCCAGGTTATTCGCTTCCGCGGTTGCCTTAAATGTAACGGTTATTGTAAGATTTCGTACTGTTCCTATTAACATCAAATAAAGAAAGAAATGTTTTGTGTTTCCAAAGAAGATAAATAAGAAAAAGTAGTTAAGATATGTTGGGCTTGGTTTAAAAAAAAAAAAATCGTATTCAAGTCACATTTCGATATCTTCATTCAAAGTAGCACGTGGTTTTTCGGGTTGTTATGCCGTAGTTTATATACCTGTTCGCCCACAATGCCCTTCCTTAGCATTAACTAAGAAGAGCTTCAAAATGCTTTTTTTTAATTCACGATACGACCATTTTTCACTTAAATACAAGCTCCCATTTAAAAACTTACACCACTGAATTCAATGCAAAAAGCTGGATAACAAATTACTTTACAAAAATTTTTGCAAATAAATAAAATCAACATTACAACAAACAACCAAAAAAAAATATATCCCTGTATCCCTTCAACAAACTTATCAAGAAACATTGTAACTTTTCTTTTTCATGAGAAATCTGAGGAATTCCTCAACGCACTGAAATTGGTTCACCCTGTACCTCTAAAAAAAAAAAAAACAAATCTATCTGGCATCTGTTTAACCCAAATCCGTACCCCTATGACTCAGACGGCACATATATCTCATTACTAGAACACAAATAAACAATTTTTCACCGTTAATTAGCAACCTGGGTTATATTTAACTTTTCCCATAAATAAAAAACAAATCCGACTTACCACAAGCATAGACTTCGGTTCAGGCAACTCGTTGCCCTCATAAATCTGCATGTAGGACTTAAAATATTGCACGAAATCCCTGACTTTCACCTTCTCTCCGTTTATCCTTTTCAGGACCAAGTTTTCAGGGGCCAACAACATAGGCACCAGTATCTTCAGGTTATCCTTGAATTCAGAATCGATTTCTGCGAAACAAAAACGTTAAGTCTACCACATTGTTCTTATTTACTATCTTACCCCCCAATCTCCCGTCGAAAGTCGGACTGGTGGCTACTTTGATGCCAGGATGGGGCATCAGGAAACAAGCTATCTCCGTAAAGCAAGACCTTATGTGCTTCCTGAGAGACTGGAGCTCCGTGTGTTGGTGGTCGTTCACCTCCAGGCGCTTCTCTAAGATCTGCTGGCCGCCGACGGCCCCATAGGGCGCCTCATACGGGAACCGCCAGTCCCTCACGAGGAACTGTAGCCTCTGGAAGGGGACCTTTCCGGAATCGGCCAGGGCGAGTCGGCCGTATTCGGTGAAAAGCTAACAAATTAAAAATGATTTAAAACTGATTCCATCGAGACTCTCTGTAACGTTTCACATCCACCAAAGTTACCTGCAAGTGTTGAAGGTCATCCTCCTGTATATTGCTGGATAAATTGTAGATTTGAACGGAACTTAACATTGTACTTAATGCGAATATTGTGGCACATTCTTTGACTGTACTTTTGCTGTCCCAAGTACCCTGAGTGTCGAGTAGCACCACAGCAACCTGAGGAAAGGCATCGAATTGTTACAAAATTTGGGCTACTTTGATGTTTGTTTTACAGTTGTTGCAAATTTTAGTACAAATGTAGCAACGTGGTGTCAGTTTTTTAGAGGTAATACTTAGAACTTTTCTCCAAAATACTAATTCGAAACAATTTTTTTTTATCAAATACATAGTCGAGATAGTCTCTAAACTGTACTTAAACTGTTATATATGTTGCCACTGGATGGGTTCCAAATTGACAGGCAGTGAACTAGACAACAAAAAATAATTTTGTAAAAACATATTGCAACAGTGCGTTAGATGAGCAAAAAAACAACAATGGCCGAATATGTGTCCGCCTTATTACAAGCTTTTAGTTAACTTGCTTTGTTAGTATGGGTCAAATCTTGCAGCTGAATTTTAAAACAGTTATCCCCAACCGATTGAGCTGAAATTTTGCACACACGTTTAGTTTGGATGACAATGCATGGTTAGCTAAGTGACATCATTCTAAATCCAATATGACGGACCAGTTATTTTTTATGCACCCCCATGATATGGGTATCAAATGAAAGGGTTTGCTGAGAAGAATACGAAAATAAAATGTCACAAAAGCTTGTTTTAATTTTTTTTTTATCATGAACTTATTACTTATTTTCAGTTTTATTGGTTTATAATAATGATTTGTAACATGCTAGGTAATTTCATAACTTTTTGCATGAACAATAAGTTTTTACCGGTATCGACATGGAATTTGTGTAGTGCAATGTTGTGTTTTGGCAAGTTTAATATTATGAAAAAACACATATACAAATCAAGGTCATAAGTAGCCTTCGTATAAATATGACCTACAATCAAAGTTATGCCCTGTATAACAATGAATAGCATCTTTAATAAAACCACCTACCTCCATACCAACAATCAGAATTAGGTACTACTTTTTAGTTTCTAGGAAAAAAAATTCAAAATACAGGGTGTTTCATAACTCTACCGACACAGAACAGGCAAGTGTAGAGAATCATAAAATATGCCGATTTGTTATGTAACATTTTTTTTTCTCGGATGTACCATTGAAGAAATATACATTTTGAAAAACAATATTTCAGCAATGATTTGCGTTTATTGTTTTTAATTGGTAAAAATATGAATTTGTTGGAAGCCCAATAAGGGCTGGACTAGGTGTTAACAAAATAAAGAATATAATTTAATGAAATTGCTTTTTCTTGATATTTTTGTGTAAACGACAAAAATGACACATGAAATCATAGCCTACTAGTCGTAAAACTGCATACTTTACTTTTTGTCCAATTCAATTTATTAGTAACGACGCTGTTTCACAAAATCACGATTTTCTCAAGAACTGTTATCTTTTCGAAAAATTGTAAAAGTAAAAAAATTTTTTAAATTAAGTTTCCTGTACTGGTAAAACTATTTAATAATTGGCATACTGATTAAAAAAATCAATATCATTTTAAGGGCACCCTACCACTAGTCCAGCCCTTATTGGGCTTCCAACAAATTCATATTTTTCCAATTAAAGATATCAATAAATGGAAATTATGTACCAAATTTGGTTTCTCTATGTTAAGGCATTAATGAAATATTATTGTTTTTCAAAATTTAACACTCATTTTTAGGCGCCAATATCTCTTCCATGATGTACATCCCACAAAAAAATGTTACATAACAAATCGGCATATTTTAAGATCCACACGTGCCTGCTCTCGTCGGTAAAGTTATGAAACACCCTGTATATTAAATTATGACACTATTTTACTACATGCTGAATAAAATTCAGTCATGTATCTAAAATGTAACATCATATCCAGAATAATTCTCTTGTATTTTTAGTTTATATTGAAACAAAATTTTAAATAATACAAATTAAAAAGGCAATCATTCATGTCAATAAAAAAATAATGGTGAGACTGCACAAAGTTACAAATCAAAAATTTTTATAATTCATAATAAATGAATCTCAAATTTTTAAGGTGACGTATATCAATTACTGATAAAATATTTCTGCGATTTGTTTACGTGCCACATCATTAAAATATAATTATAGTAATTTTTTAGATAAAAGATACACCAAGGGATAAGAATACTTATGTTTTTGTTTTGTCAAGATATTTACACGCAGGTGGATAATTAATTCTAAACAGTATTTCCTTTCTAGGAATTGCCACCGTCAACAATAAAGTAAAGTCATAACATTTTAAAATTGTTTATATATGCAAACATTGCACACCTTTTAAGTATGCAAACCATATACTAAAAATAACAATGTTATGATTCAAAACCATTAATATGATGTAACTGTCTAGTACTGTAGGCTGTCAACCATGACATATGTAAAGTTTTCCCAAAAATCTTGTAAATATATCTCAACATATTCCTAGCCAAAACTTTTTATATATAAAAAAAATGATACAGCACCTTTTTTCATATAAGATCTGCAAGAATTGTGGTAGGCCATGATTTAAAATAAAACATACTGTATATACATAGTATATGATATAATACTTGATATACCATTATTAAATACAAGGAAAAATCAAAGGTACAGTGCAATATCAACCAATACAATAAAGAATAATTTCCAAAAAAAAAAAACGCTATGACATGACCAATCGTTCCACCTCATTGCACTCACTTATTTCACGCTTATAAAATTAATCTTTAAAGTTCTGATCTGAACAGCTACAATAAAATTGTTTGCTTCCTTTGTCTTTTTCCATGTTGCCTTCCAACGTATTATTATTAAATAATTAAGTACACATGTAGTTACCTGTCATTAAACTTTAAAATGAAATAAAAAGAAAGTAATAAACGCTTTGTTGTTAATACACCACCTAATTTAAATTCTAGTCAAGTCATTATTAGCATTCGATTGAATTTGCTGCATAGATTGTCATAAATTCTTCTACCAGTTTTAAATACAGGATTGCTGCAAAAACTGTAACCACAGTGATTTAAAACTTTCTAAATATAACCTGGCTATATCCAATCATTAGATATAACGGACTGCTTTTATAAGAACTGAAAAAGTGGTAGGAATTTCTTATTATAAACCCAATTCATTTTCTTATATTCCGAGTTCTTTGTTAAATTATGGTATATACATATAAATATACCAACTAAGTAAATAATATATTCCACTGTTTATATAAAAACTAATTTAAAGATTCAGAGATAAATCCATCTGAACAGTTTATGTTTATAAAAAGTAAACAAAACCCAAATTGTGGGAAGTGAAAAACAAAGTAAAAGATTAATCTATTTGTTATTTTTCTCATAGATAAAAGAAAGACGCAGAAATTTTAAGTTAAGCATTCTTCTTCTTTCTTTCGCAACATCACACAAGTTTTGTAAATTATAAAAAAAACATATCAAATGTAATACTAAATATAAGAGCTAAATTTGAATAAATCTAACAATTTTTTACCAAAAGAGTCATAAAATTTCCTACCTTTTCGCCCGTGATAAGTTCTGTTAGAAAAACTTCAGACCACATCAGTATTCCCGTCGTATCCCGATCTGATCCTCCCTTCCAAGAGAATCCTTCGAGCGGGGCATCTTCCGAACCTATCCACTCCGATGTATTTTGTTTAAGGACATACTAAAAACGATCACTTAAATATACGTCGCACGATTTAGTAACAATAAAATACCTTAGCATTCATATATCGCAAAAAGAAATCTAAGAGAAATGATTTGCCGTGTCTAAATGCACCAGCCACGGAAACTACCACTACGTATCGATCTTTAAGCTCATCTCGCATTAACACTTTCTTGAGAGCCTCTTCGTCCAGCTTGAACGAATGGTCCTCACCTGCTAAAACTATTGGCACAGCATGTGGTTTAGTCATTGTGTCTTCATATTCAAATTCATCTGGAACAGAAAATTTTAAAACGTTAACCCTGCCGTTAATGTAACATTATTATAAAAATTTCATGTCCTTGATGTCAAGATTTGTTTTCCTATTTTTAATAACTGACATTGACAGATTTGAGAGATACAAGGTTAACATCTTGGGAGACATGATAATTTTGAACAGATTATATGGAAGATGCTTCAATTAATTAATTACTAATTGCCACATAAGGACGTGCTGCGTAATTCACACTTTAAACAAGTTCCAAAGTTTACAAAAAGCAAGGTGGAAATAGTGATATTATTCGGCCCTATCTAACAGTGTTACGAATTAATTAAAAAATACAATTCTACAAATACCTTCAGTTGAAGATTCTTTTTTCTGTAAACGTTTACGTTGCCTTAAGTCAGACATGATGATATTATTTTCGTTTTCTTAATTCGTTCGTCAGTTGCAGTTAGTAGTACTCTTTACTAAAATCATTTGACAGTTGCCCCCCAAGGTTTGGTTCGTAGAGATGACAATTTTGGCAGAACTCTCGAATAACAAAGACGATTACTTGCGCTCGCCCATCTCTGTTACAACTCTTGTACAACACACTTCCACATAATCCTTACGTTATTACCAACTTTTAAATATTTGAAATTAGTTACTTCACTACCGAGTTTAACAGATTTATATTTTAACAAATTTTAAATCAATTAAAACTTGTCAATAATTGATGAAAATTTTCGAGCAAATTAATTTAGTTTTTCACTAAATAGAATTTTAACAAATAGCGATTTCCATTGATGCACTGAGTGCGCATTCCGTGTATCTCCATCCTGTATTATCTAGTGATAATAAAAGATGGAAAATATACTCGGTGCGCACTCGGTGTGTCAATGGAAATCGCCAAAAGAAACATTACAAAATAACTTGGTTCTTTTTCTTTGACGCTTTGACCTTGACAATATACCATGTATATGGAAAATGCAAATATTCTCTTTCAGTATTTAATTAACAGAAGAAGAAGCAGTCGATATAATAAAACTTTTGACCTACTTCCTACTTTAGTTTTGCCAAAAGGGGCGGGTAGGTAGGAAGGTCTATGAAGTGAAATTATAAATTATTGTAAACATAATCAGCTGCAGGTTTTCGGTTTTCGTTTCCATAACAGCACAAGTATGCATACCTGAACCTAGATATATTATTGATAATATTTATGTCTTCATTTTAGATATGATAAACACATCAAAAATAATATAACTTCTTCAAATGCGTTCATCGGTTAGCTACATTCTGTCAAGCAGTACTAGTGAGCCCAACATGTCTCACCCAGATTATGAACAGTATTCTCATGATCATGCTGCTCTTTTAGTACTAGTGAGACACATAGGATCTCAGCTGAAACCAAAAACCTTCATGAAGTTCTTTGATCGCATTTCTAAAATTAACAACGCAAAAATCACTGATTCTACTGGACAAGTTAGAAGTATATTGATACGTTACGTGAAAGAATATCCCGTGGAAAATAATGACTGGGGTGATTTTCAAACACACAGACGTTTGTTGGGATTGATTTCGCTTGGCAAGTACGATTCTCAACAAGAATTAAACGAGGTGTGCAGGGTACACGAAAGCTTAAAGGTGAAATATAATACCACTTTGTTTGATTCAATATGCATACTTTTCGGTCCTACTAAAGAAAGTGTTACTCCTGAAACAGATGATTCTAGTAATGTTGATTCAGATCCCAAATCTGAAGATACTTCAGAAAAATTTACCACTCCTAATAATTTTAAAGCAAGGGCCCTGTTCTATGATGAATCTTCACCCTGTTTGGATCTGGAAACTCAGCTCAACGAGTTCATTAATTCTTTGTTTTGGGTACTCGAATCGAAAAGATTGGAACGGTCACGTGAGAAATTAGAGCGTGTATCTTTACTCCTGGCACCTTTTGAGAAAAAAGATTTCGTAGGACTGGATATGGAATCTAGGAACAACAAAAAAAGATGTACGGGTCGTATGACAAAACACTTAGGCGACCTTTGTATGCAGGCAGGTTTATTAACAGAAAGTTTGTCTTATTATACCCAAGCTGCTGAAACTCTAAAATCCATAAATGACTGGTTATGGCTGGGCGCCGCTTATGAGGGCTTAAGTGCTGCGTCTGCTTTGGTTTTATATCCCGATATGCAACGTACGGTCCCTTTACAAAGAAATGCCAGCTTACAAGAAGGTTCACCCAGGAAATCTAGCCAGACTCCATCCACTTCTGCTTTAGTTAATAGAAAATTAGTGGCAAATACACTTACACCTGAGGACATATTGAAACGTTACCGCGAAGCTATTATTCACTACAGCAAATATCAAAATGCTGGGATTATAGAAACCGAGGCCAGCTTTAAAGCAGCAAGGATCGCCGTGGAGCAGAACCATGCACTTCAGGCCGCTAGTTTCTTGCAGAACGTCGTGTATATTAATCTGGCGTTATCCGAGCAGGAAAAAATTCAGAGGTTTGAAACTTTGGCAGACCTATACACCCAAATTGGGTTCCAGAGGAAAGCTGCTTTATGTTTAAGACTGGCTGCTACAAGGTAATTTTATAGGGTATATGGCAGAGTAATTGTTTCTCCAATATTATTAGTTAAAAAAGTTTATTTCGCTAGAGTAATATGTTTCCGTGGTACCTACAGTTTAGTAGGTCACTCTCTGCCAGTAGCATTTCTATGTTCACATAATAATTATTAATAGGTATGTTTCCCCTCAAAACCCTGCACCGAACTGGGCCCGATGTTACGCCTTGATGTTACAAAGTCTACCCGGCCACCATCTAACGCTAGACCCTGTGGAAATGAGAACCTCAAACCAGGGTTGGCCGGCTTTGCAGATTCAACTGTTACAAGTAAATATTTTCATGTGGAACTTTACAGACGTTAATTTTCTTTTTTTAAGTTCTAGAATGTGCCTAAAAGATTTGTTTTTAGGAACTTGTTGTCGCTGCGAGACGTACTGGGCATTCCGCATTAGCTACTAGACATATGACCTTTCTGTTACAGACCATGTGGCCCCATTTAAGGTAATATAAACGTCTCTGTCCTCGATAATAATATTTAGGTTTACGTGACTTTATCGAGTTTATATTTACAATTCTCTCAGCCCCACCGAGCAGAAAGAGCTAGCAGTACAACTTCAAAGTCTCTCTGCGCAGTGCGAAGGTTCTCCGGTGCCTCTAGTCCTTGATTCCGGGTTAGTGGTACCACCCGCCAATCTCACCGACATCCCAGTTTGCGTCGCTTTCACTCCAAAGGACCTACAGCCCCATCTCAGACCTAGACGCATCGAGAGCCTCAAACAAGACACAGGCCCCTTTCTGTTCACTCCGATACATTTCGGCGGCGGGAGTTTGGAGAGAAAACAGAACAAAGCTAATTCAAAAATGGGTATGGAAGTAAAGGAGGTTTATTTACTTTTTTGAAAAAATAATCTTCCCGCAGATTTCCTATGGGTGGAAAACGAGGTTTGCGAAGTACAACTGAAACTGACAAATCCTCTACCGTTTGAGCAGAAGGTGTCGAACATGCGACTGTTGACCGCTGGCGTGGTTTTTGAATCGGTACCGGAGACGGTGGTATTGCCGCCGGACGTACCCACATCGATCACGTTAAGCGGTTGGGCGAGGGAGAGTGGAGAACTTGAACTGTCGGGGTATAGCACGCATGCTCTGGGCGTGAAGTCGAATTGCAGGTTGCGACACATGCCGCTGTCCTCAAATTTCCCTCCATTTTATAAAGTGGAAGTAGTGCCGAGCTTGCCGATACTTGAGGTATAAATGTTTTTTTTTAAGGTCTACACATTACCACTTATAAGTGGGACAAAAACTTAAGAAAGCTCTTATCTTTCGAATTGAATGGGGATTTCAAAAATAATTTTATTAGGGAAAACAACCATTTTTTTGTTTAAAAAAGTCAGTACTCGTACGCATGCCACTATTAGAGGTAAAACCTATGTTTGTATTGAAAACCATTTGCCTTTATTAACTATCGTTACGTGCTAAATATCAGTGAAATATCTCGAGCGGTTTCGAAAATATTAATTTCCTTTTTTTCCTAAAATTTTAACCAAGGTTGGCAAATATCATGATATTTATATAAATATCAAATATCGGATAAATATCTTGATATATATCCGATATATATCAAGTCTTGATATTTATTTTTTTTAATTAATTTATGTATAATATAGTAGCGAAATAAAATTAAGAAACTATTTAGGTAAATATTTTTATTCCAAATATCAAAAACAAGAACGAAAAAATAAATATAAATTCTGAAACTAATAAAAAATATTTGCGTGAATATTAGGTACTACGAAATCGATGGAATGTTCCGATGATTCTTCTGGCAAAGGCTCTGCTGTATTTGAATTCTCCCAAATCCAAACAATATTTTCTTTTTTATTTTTTCTACCTGATTGTTATATTTAAATAAACGTTTATCAAAAAATCGACGTACAAAACTAAGGTTGTAATATCACCAAGTCAACATAAATTTCATACATATTAAAACAAATACAAACACACAGCACCTGCTCGAATTGACAACACCTGGAGAAATAATGAAATAAAAATGTTAATTCAATTTTACTTTGTTGAAAAATTCGGGGAATCACATAAATAAACACCTTCGCCAACGATTAGCATACGGTTTTACTGCCATCTGTTAACAGTTTTAGCAACTTTAAACCAGTAGGAATCATTATTTAAATTTTTATAAATATCGTGATATATATCGGATATACAGGGTCGGAAAGTCCCCATGGTTCATCGGCCGTTACGTGAGAGCGATAAAGTAAGCCATAGAAATCCATGCGATAGAGAAGGATGGCTATAATGAAGGCGTCTCATAGACACCGCCCGTTTCGCCCTTCCACTTGTAATTCAGCGACCGGTGGGCATCTTTGTTTTCGTCGTTTGCCTTTTCTTTAATAGATGTTACTACTTATACAATTTCGATTTCGGTATTCCGATATGTTAATACCATTCGTTAACAGAGGGCAGCACAACACGTAACAAAGAAAACTTTTTACAGTAGCTAGTAGATACGTCTGTTTGTTAATCTAGTGACCCTGTTTCCCCTACCGAGAAGTTATTCAAATGGAAGTATAGTGCTCAGTTGCATTTAAAGTTCATTTAGTTATTATTTAAGTATACTTTTTAAAATGACTTTAAAATCCCAAGAAATAAAGCAAAATTCCCTATTTCCCCAATTCCAAAAAAAACTGTCGATCTGGCATCACTCTAGGGCTGCGCCTCTCCTTAGACAAATTGTGCTGCCCTCTGTTAACGGATTGTATTGACATATCGGAATACGAAGTTGGAATTGTATAAGTAGTGACATCTACTACAGAAAAGGCAAACGACGAAAACAAAGATGACCACCTGTCGCTGAATTACAAGTGGAAGTGGTTCTTATTTTTGGACCGTAGTTTATAAAGCACACTATCATTAATTTTCCATGTAGTTTCATACCCTTAAATATTCGCATATCATTAACGAACACCCTGTGTATTGTGGATGAAAGAAATATTTTCAACAGAACGTTCAAATTGAAAATAAAATCAAGTCACACTCAAATTCAAAGTAAAATTCAAAATCAAATTCAAAATAAATAAAAATGTTATGCAGTCTTTTTTTCTATAAGCAATTTTTGTCCAGGTAATCACGTCTCTGCCTCAAAGCGCGTCCTTTTCGAATTTCCATGATGACAACATAGTGACGTCCGCCAGCATAAGTTTATACCACGGGGAGAGTACCCACTGCACGGTAACTTTGACCAACATCGGCCAAGTGCCCATCGAGATGCTCGAGGTCGAAGTAAACAGCATTTTGGAACCTACGCTTCAAGATCAGATCTTCAAGTGGGACGACGAAGAGGTGCGATGCCAGTTACCTATACAGCCCAGCAAATCCGCGACCATAACCTTATACCTTCACGCCGCTGCCAACTTTCTGGCCCCGAACGTGCCCGTTTCTCCCAGTATTCAGCACGACATGAGCAGCGGAGTGTTCAGTAGCATGTCGGCTTCCCTACCGCCCGGGGGATCCTTGCCGTCGAGGTTCAACTCGAGTTTCCGTTCGTCGAATTCGGGACAGTCTAGCATCGCGGGAGGCCTCACGGCACTATTCCAACAGCAGTCCGCCACGTCGGCTATCGAGGGGCAGCTGAGGTTGCGGTACAGCGGTTCGTCTGGACTCGAGGCGGATTACTGCAGGATATGCTCCGTTTTCTTCATGGTGGAGATGACGCCCTCTCTTCACGTCACGAATTGGGATGTTTTACCTGCAGAAATGTAAGTCGATGAGAAAATTCGCAATTGTGGTATGATTTATCAAATAAACCGATAAATCATACGTAATTTTTTATATGTATTATACCCTAGTGCCAAAATAGCAGGCAGTGTGACATCATTCCATGCGTGTATCAATTTTGAGGGCTCCAAAAACTGATATATATATAAACTAAATAAATACGTCGATTTTGGTACACTCATCTTGATATATTCTATTATCCTTCAAGTAGGTACATATTTTTTTATTTACATCAAAGTATTCAGGCCACTGACATTCAATTCCACTTCTAACAACATTTATTGGAATAACTAAAACATGGAAATATGTTTTTTTCACTTGTACGCTTATGACAAGCACTGACACCCCAGTCAGAAATTGAAGTAGGGTGGGATTTCAACAAGTCAATGCAGTTTTAGTTGTCAATTTTTTGTATATGAAAAGTGAAGATAGAATTAGACATTTGTAACAATTGGAACACTATGCGAAATGAATGGTACAATACAATTTCCATGAAAAGAATACAAAAAATTATATACTACTTTTTTGATAAAACTTACCGCCTTCGAAAAAAATCCAAAACACCTCAAATTTTGACCTTTGACCCTGAATAATTTTTTAGCACACATGGGATTGATGGGGACTTTTGACACTTTATTTCTAATGGTGTACCCAAGATCTCCACCAAAATTTAGCTCTGTCGGAATTTTCGTTATTTGACCACTATTTTTATGACTAATTAGACCGGACTATTATGACTTTTGGCATTGGGGTATAGATGGGGGTTCTCCCACGAAATATTTGTCATTATTTATACTTTTAACAAAGGAGGTTGGGATTTTATGGAAGCGTCACCATCTGTCTCATATTTTCTATCCTAAATTTGACCCGTTACTTAAATTCACCGTTTGTAGAAGTTCCCAGTTTTATCTAGTCGTGGACATAGCTAACTTAACTTCCCAAGAGATGGAGCTGCAGTACACGTCGACTAAAACCATGTTGATAGAAGGCCAGGAGAGTTGTCGGGTGCCCATTCCCGTCGATCGTTGCCCTCTATCCAAACTGTCTGGACTTTTCGAGGAGTCGAAAGAGTTCGATACCGGAAGGAACGTTATAGACGTTAATACTATCTGTTCCGAGCATATCACCGATTTGGTAGACTTGCGGTGGAGTTTGTTGGCGACGGATTCGAAAGGCGTCGCTTCCTTGAAAGGCATAAATTTAACGGCAAGCATGTTGGATATTGTTCGTATGTCGCCATTGGATTGGGGTACGTTTTATTTATAAACGGCGCGAATGGAAATAGTTGTATATTTTTTTAGAAGTTAAAGTGAACGGGGGCATCGTAAACGCCCAGGAAGAAGTGACTTGTGAAGCTGGGGACTGCTTGGCATTGCAAATGTCCATCGCGAATAGTCTGGAGTGGGCTTTGAACCAACTCACGCTTTCCGTGCAGTTTTATCAGGATTACGAGAACGGGACGATAAACGACAGGATGGAGACTAGATTAGCTATGGCGGGTGCCACGAAGTAAGGTTACAATTTTACGTTGAAATACAGAAATCTGTAACTTTTTTTTTAGGAAAATATTACCGTCCCTAGAGCCCAGGGTGAAGGCCAACCACGACTGCAACGTAATATTTTTTGCGCCGGGTTTGTACAAGCTGGATATTCAATGTTCGGCGTCGGAGAGTAGCGCGTGTGGCACGGCAAACTTGGTGCAAATGGGGCATGTATGGAAGTTCACGCCGCCAATTTCTATACAAGTTACGTAAATTTATTATTTTATTATTTAATGCTAAGCTGTTTAAATCGTTAAATGTTTTAGACTTAACTTATAACTTGGAGAATATAAGATAATTTGGTCATATATTTTTTTCATTTATTTCCAATTTAAATCCTAAACCTCAAAAATTGTGTTGAGATTCATCAAAGTTATTGTCTCGAAACTATTTGTGGAGCATTTATTACCATTATTTTTTAATTTACAGTGCGGAAAAATTTTCAAAGAAAAATTACTGTCAGTCAAAGTTATTCTAAATAAAATTTCTACAGATTTTATAACTTAAGGTCATAAATATGAGCAATATTGGAAAATGTTACTTTTGTAATTGTAAAATATGCTATAAAGTAGATCCAGGGATAGTGGCGGTATTTCTGAAATTTTTTTATAGTCCAATAATTGTAATTAATCGTTATTTACAAGGTGCGAGCTTGTTTGTTTGTTGGCTGTTGTAAAAAATTTTTTTACTTTAATTTAATATCCTCGTTTCTGTTTCTTTATCTCTATTAGAATTTTTGAAAGTACAGAAAAACTAAAATGGGCAAATTATAGTACTGCTAAGAAAATAATTGAAATTCTATTTACTTAGACTTTATTCAAACAAAATTGAAAATTCTTTTAAAAAATCAGCTATTTGCAGTCCAATTGGAAAAATGTTTAAACCTTTCGTTAGTTGTCACTTTATTTGTTTGATATTACAATAATTACTTCTTTTTAAATAAAATCCAAAATGAAAAAATTAAATTATTTTCTCAAAAATGTTGGTAAAAAAAAACTATGATAGTGATAGTTCTAAATTTAATGGGTTTCTAGTGGACTAATAATTTTTAAGAAATTTAAATATGCGACCAAATTCTGATATAAAAAAAAGATTAATCTTAGGGGCGGACTTCAGGGGGCTGTAATTCTGAAAGACGGGGCCACTTGGCAAAAATAAAAAATACGGGTTCCCTAAATTTGTCTTAAGAATTTGTGACCAAATTTTGTTGCATGAATTTTGGGACACCCTGTATTTTGACTAAATTTAAATTTCGATATTTAAATAAAATCAACACAACAAAGAAATTGAAAAATGACAGCTTTTAATATTTTAAATCTCATTTTTTAGGCCAAAAGTAGATATACAATCTGGTTTACTGTTTTTTCTCGTACGGTTTTTGTTCGGATCTTTATTGAAGATGTAATGTCTGTTCCCAAAGGTATGCCTAATTGATATGTGGTACTGTCCTCATGTTCTCTCTCTGAAAATGACAGTACACTTCTAAAAGCCATGCGGTAAAGAAGTCGTTTATTTACACAAAGGTCTTCGAAAAAACAAACAAGACAAATCCCCAACCAACGTCTACAACCTCTTAAGTTCATTGAAAACTTTTATAAACTAATCAAAAACTGAATTTTCGAGCGATTGGGCTGACTTTAATCACATTTGACGCTGGGTTTAATTTCCACAAAATTTGTTAGGAAAAAAATGTGAGAAAAAATATAAATTTAAAAAAATTAAATCAAGAAAACTGAATTTTGTGAAAAATAAAAAAACGCCCGATTCTATTCACCTAATAAAACTGGGTGACCCCTACTTTATGTTTTTTTTTTATGTCAGCAAATGGTACAAGTTCCCTCGCTTCATTATCAAAATAATTTTCACCGGCCGTCGCAGTTGAAGAATAGTAATATTTTATTCAATCGTAAATAATTCAAACATGCTACACTTTATTAATATAAATGTAAAATGCTAAACGAGTACAGCAAAGATTATATCACAAACTTGAATAAATCGTATTAAATAATATCGTTTAATCCATTACGTTTTAAAACACATTTGATAAGTGGGAGGTTTCTCTGGTATATTCGAAACATCTAAATCGTCGCTGTTAAACCACTTGACCTCGTCTTCGGTTAAATCTTCCAATTTAGAATAAATGGATTCGTCAACCTGCTGAACTTGACCGAATTGTGGATTTGAAATAACAGTGTTCTGACCGCTTCCAAAAATACTATTAGAATGACTTTTCGCATCTGTAACACTGGAAGACGTCTGGCGAAATGGAGGACTAGTCGCTTGTTGATTGAAAACCGTCCCGGCATTCTGTTGGGCAAAGATAGGTTGTTGCTGGGCAAACATTGATTTTTGTGCATTTTGAGGTTGGTTAGCCCCTATTCCAAAAATATTTGCCGACCCCTGTTGAGGCATGTTTTGAACAGTGGCTTGAGCATTGGAGACACCAAAGATGCTCTGCCCAAAAGCATTATTAGCGTTTTGATTAGGAAAAGAATTGTTGAAAACATTGCCACTATTTGGTTGTGTTTGTGAACCATATGTAGGAGAAACGTTTTGTTGCCCGCCAAAAATAGAATTGTTCACTTGACCTCCAAAAATCGAGCCCCCGGCAGATTGCCCGCCACTGAACATCGGGCCGTTTGTAGACTGTAGGCCAGCGAAAGCTGGGCTGGTACCGGCTTGTGTTGTAGTTGGCTGGCCCCCAAATAAGGAATTACTACCTTGAGTTGCAAAATTACCACTGGCGTGACGAAAAATGTTATCAGTAGCGATCTGCGTCTGAGTGTTTGGAAAAATCGAATTACTCTGCCCTTTGAATGCTTGGTTTTGAGATGCGCCACCACCGAAGATACTTGACGCACCACCAAATTGATTTTGCGGTTGTGTGGGCTTGGCAAAGATGTTTTGATTAGATTGGGGGAACACCGAAGAAGTAGGTTGTTGTCCAAAAGATGTTTGCTGTTGATTAAAAGCTCCAGACGTGTTGGCTGTATTATTGAATGCAGTGGTTGTGGTGGCAGGGTTACTTCCGTATACACCACAGTATGAGGAAGGAGGAGTATTATAAATGCATTTTAAAATGTTGACGATATCCGGTGATGGTGACTGCAAGGATTTCATCCTCATTACAGCTTGTTGAAGCATCATTTGTACTTGTTGCTTCTGGAAAGACAATATGTTAAAAACATTCTTAAGAGTGGCTATATACACATACAAATTGCTCGAGAGTTCCATTCTTTACTGCTTCGTAGTAACCCAAACGAATTTCCTCAAAGCTGTGATCTTCAAAACTGGGAAATGCAGGCTTTTCTTTGAAAGGAGCATAGCAGGATAATAACCACTGGCCTCCTTTTTCCGCTACTGTCATGTCATTTACTACAGATTTGACCAAAGTACTCGTGTCTACATTAGAAGGATTTGTGGTAGGTTTGGCTTGCTGTTGGGTATTACCAAAATGAGACTGTCTTAGTATTGGTGTTGAGTTTTGAAAATTCGTATAGTTATCTGAAAGAAAAAGATATGTAATGCAGACAGTGGGCTATTTAAAACGGGTATTTTACCGTTTAATTGATGTTCAAATTTGCAAAAATCCCCAAATTTACAAGTTCCCTGAAGGAAAAATTTACATACAACCATGCTTATTCTTGAAATATTTCTATTTCCAATATTTCTATACTTATGACCATACTGTCACCTGTCAAACTTAAATTAAAAAATTAAAATTTGTTGACATATAACCTCACTCGAATGGGACACTTGACCTACTCGTATATGAATTTGAACTAAAGTTATTTTTTAACGAGTAAATTCATTCTAGGTTTAATCAACAAAAAATTATAAATTCTTTACGTAGATCAGGATCAATTTAATACTCTAGACTTTAAGAAATTGTTATATGAAAAATGTGAAGGTGTAGTTTTAAAAGAACTTAATAATTACTAAAATATACAAAGATTGTCGCAAAAAAATTCCAAGAGTTTGTCAAAAATTGTACTCTAACTATCAAATGTTAGGTTAAAGGCTATGTTTACAAAAAAGCTGTTTGTTTTTAAGTTAAATAACAATAATGCCTGTGGATATAAAGGAACTTACAGAGGGTTGGCTGGAGTTAGAAAGCGATCCAGGCTTGTTTTCTTTACTCCTTGAAGATTTCGGCGTAAAAGGAGTCCAAGTCGAGGAAATATACGATTTAAACAAACCCTTAGACAGTCCAGTTTATGGTTTCATTTTCTTATTTAGATGGGTCGAGGAAAGAAGATCACGTCGAAAAGTTGTGGAGCAAAATGAAACGTTTGTTAAAGACGAAGATATAGTAAATAATATATTTTTTGCTCAACAAATGGTTCCGAACAGTTGTGCTACACATGCCCTTATTTCTATATTGTTAAATTGCCCCACTATACATTTAGGCGAGACTTTGACCAGACTGAAAGCACATACGCAAGGTATGAGCCCCGATAATAAAGGATGGGCTATAGGAAATACCCCAGAGTTGGCTTGTGCTCACAATTCGCATGCTATGCCGCAAGCAAAGCGAAGGCTCGAAAAAGGCAGTGGAGTATCAACGGGACGCTTTACAGGTTATTATTAACATCTCATGTTGTTTTTTGAGGTACATTAACTTATTTTTCAGGTGAAGCATTTCATTTTGTTAGCTTTGTACCCATTGGGGGCAGACTATTTGAACTGGATGGTCTGAAGCCTTATCCGATTGATCATGGCCCTTGTAACGATATGGAATGGACTGATAAGTTCCGTAGTGTTATTACCGATCGGCTGGGAATCACAGCTGATGAATATAACGAGATTAGATTCAATCTAATGGCAGTCGTTCCAGATAGAAGACTGGCCATTCAGCATAAACTTAAAATGTTGAGAACTAACAAACAAATAGTATTGGATGCACTTCAGCACATAGTTAAAGTCAAGGAAAAGAGTGGTAGTACTAACATTAAGACTGAAAAGGAATTAGAAGCTTTAAAGCCAGGAACAAGCGGTGAAGAAGCAAAAGTGAGTAAAAATTTTATTTTAAGTCTGTGTATCTTGTAGAATAAAAATTTTAAATAAGTTTTTAATGACCTTTTTTGGGATCCAGTCGGTGGATCCCACGAAGAATGAATCTGAGGAAGACCAGGCTTCAAAAACCAATAAAATCGAATCTACTTCGACAAACAGTAAGGTAACACTGTGTCCTTTAGATTACGCCACTCCATTGACCATACAAACTTCACCTGCACCCAGTACTTCTGGAACGGACACCCCGTCAGATTTAGGATCAGCTTTCAACTCTCCCACTCAAGGATGGAACTGGGCAGCCGCGACGACCTCGCAGAATAGCCCAACATCAAGGGATTTGAAACGGTTCGTTGTATTGAGGATGGCCGAACAGGGCGACAAAGAGAAGGAGCAGAATGGTAATAACACCCTACAAATTCGTCAACACAAAGATCTTCAATAACGAATTTCGAAGTATTTGTTCATTACCTTTATTGAGATCACATGTTTCGTGTAGAGTTTGATCAGTTAAAATACATATAATTTGTGAGGTTAGTTAACAGCAATACTGTGCACTTTGTATTAGTTAGACAAACTGATCAGATTTAGGAATAAAAATACTAGATGGCGACTCCCCGCCAAAAAATATTTATAATATTTATTTTCAGAAATAAAGTCGTTAGAGTCTGCCGAAAGGAAATTGGTCAGTACGGGAGGGGTCCACGCTAGGGTTCACACAAGTGACGGCGATCCGGTAGTAGCAGAGAAGAAGAACCAAGAACTCTTAGAACCACACACTTTCGCCCCAAAGGACTTGCTAGCGTTGTTGAGGAACCTTGAAAACGAAATATGTATGTGCGAGATTAGTTTGAAGGACGAAAATGACAAGCAGAACAAATATAAGGTAAAGCGGACAGTAGAACAAATTTAAATTCTTAACAAACGCGTAATTTTCAGGTTGATGATTGTAGGCGGACTCACAACTACGATGAGTTTATTTGTACGTTTTTGTCCATGCTGGCCGAGCAGGGTAAATTGGCAGATTTAGTAGAGCAAAATTTAGTCGTTCCGAAAAGGCCTAGCAATTCCACTCCTGTACCGAAACCCGCCAAGAAGAAAAAAGATGGCGGTAAGAGGAAGAAGAAAGGTCGTTCGAAGGTGAAACGAAGACGTTGAAGCTGTACACTTGAATCTTTTTTTATTTTATTCTACAAAATACAAATATTTAAATAGATTAACTGTATATTTGCTGTTTTTATAAAACTATTTAAAATATTCTAAAAATAATTTTCAGGTACCTAATTTTATAATTTGTGATTTATTAGAACAAGGAAAATGTATAAATAAAGTATTCTATGTTAAAATTATGTTTTTTTAATATCGTCAAATACCAAAACGATTCAGTTTTTTAATTAATTACATAAAATATATTTCCTAAATTTAAATTAAAGCAAATTTTACATTTTTATCAACAATAAAATCACGAGCTTTTCTGTTTATTGGATAAATTTCTATTTGTAACGAAACAATTTTGCCAATTAGTAATTTTACGAGAAAAACTGACATGAAAAAATCGTAACAGTTTTTTGAGCAAAATTAATGATTGGCAAAATTTTGAGTTAAAAAGAAATTTATCCATGAAATGAAAAGCTCGCGTGGTTTTTGGCAAGATAAATTAACGATCAAATATGTGAATGAACAACAAAAAAATATATATTTATTCTATGTGAACGAATAACAACCACTGTAGATACTCACACTTTCAACAATACCTAATAATTGTAATGACAGGAAACATTTTAAACATTTAAACTGATGTGCGCGTAGTAATTGTAAGTACATACAGTTTTAATTTAGAGGAACAGCAGTTTTTATCAGTGTTAGAAAATTACGCACTTTTTTATCGTTGTAAAGTTACAAAAACGATTTCTTTTATTTAAATATTCTGCTCAAAAATCGTAGACACTCGTGATTAGCTAAAGCAACTCCCTCCTAATTTTCAGATAAAATTAAAGAGAGAGAGGGGTAATCAAACTATCGCCCTTTCTCTCTACAGCATCTACATACATACAATACAGCAATTGTCGTGTTTTCACGGCTTTTCAGCCACGACTTGATAGTAAAATCGTACGGCATCGGCAGTACAATAAATATTACTGTACTGCCATGCATTAAAAAACGGCTTTAATTTTATATGCATATTTGAACTTTTATGCAGAAAAAAAACTAAACCTGAAAATAATAATGCCATACTGGAAGTTCAATTTGCCAAACATTCTATTCCCCGAGTAGATTTCGATCTTGGCTGTGTGTGACCCATTTATTTTTTGTCTGATTCGCAATGTTTATATTCTTAAACACGGCTATTTTTAATTTTCCGCGTGGCGTTTAGTTTCTACAGGTTACAGATTGGCAGCACTGGTTGAGAGGTAACAAGAAATTTGTGGTTGGCAGCCCTGCGTAGAGTCGTATTTCAATTGTTTCTGATCGGTATTTTTTAAATTTAGTCTTAATTCATCAAGTATAATCGTTAAATAATTGCATTCAAAATAATCCACCTTTCTGTTAGTTTTTTATTACTATTTCTTGTCTTACGTGCGCGATACAGACACATATACAGAGTGGTACGAGTCTCCCGGTTTAATGCTTCTCGCTAGTGACGCCATACAACATACAAATAAATAATATACTTTTCCTCGTAACGTAATTAAATTAAGTGTGCCGCAATTCTATGTGTATCCTGTTCCCACTGCCGGAGGACCCTCTGTAGCTGAGAAGATCTGGAAAGTTTGTGGTAAGTCGCAAGTCACTTTTGAAATCTCACCTAACGGATAAAATTTACATGCACGCAGTTCCATTGAGCTGGAGTTCGAAACTACCTTCCACATACATTTTTCAGTCACTTTATGACGCATTTTCTTTTTATCGTTTTTCATATTTTAAAATTTTTAGGAGAAATTATCTAGTTTGTGCAACAGGTGCAAAAAAAATGTTGAATTGTAACTGTAGTAGAAAAAGAGAATTCAATACTGGCAAAAGCTTCACCCTGCCAACTACAACTGGTTTGACGACTTTAGGTAATAGCATTGTTTTATTATTGTTCAGTGATTAGATAACTGCAACCGTTGTTAATTTACTTGAAATTGAAATTGAAATTTGTAAGAGGGGCCGTTTGGAGTATCTTGAAATTTACTCACTACTTATATCTAACAGACATGAGCGTAGATAGGATTTTTGCTTGGCTTGCCCCCCTAGCTACGCGCCTGATAACAAACTCACGTCCGTTTATTTATTAGAAACGGGAAACGGGATGGGAACGGATTAAATATTCATAAGCAAAGTTTGCTTATTTTAACACCAAACAATAACGGAGAAAGTCCTTAGGGTTAGTTCACATCAGGCCTTCCATTCTGAGGTAGTTTCGTACGTGTTTCAAAGTCTTGGGTTCTTTAACAAAGTTGAATATTCGCCGGAAGGAAAGGAGCGCCCTGGGGTGATATTGGCATTCACATGAATTGTAGTAAGTAAGTACCAACTCTGGATAGAAATGAACTGCAATATGATTATAACTGAGATATAAACTTGGGCATTGCTTTTAGTTCTTGAAGTCGGTAATAGTAAAAAGTGTGGAAATATGTAAAATACATTTTTCGAAAACTGTCATTAAAAGTTGATATTTACATGATATTTATTATAGCTGTTTTACATTGACAATTTATTGATCAATTAATTCATGAAGTCGCTTCATCAAGAAATTGGACAAGTGTAATGCACCAAATCTGCTGTCAAATAATTTCTTGACGAATTACAGCATGTTCTAATTTTTGTCAATTTCTTCGCGAAGTTCGGAAGTACTAACCCAACAGATTTCCAGCCTAAGATCAGTAATGAGGTTATGTTTTTGAAATATGTAAATAATTGTGTGGCGTCGTACTAATTTTGCATTGTTTTTACTGATTTGTTACTTACAAAAACTAATATTTATATAATATGTGTCAGAACTTTACCGCTGTTGTATCACTACAATTATGAGTGGAAAGGTGACATTTTTGAAATTTATTTGCTTCTTTGATTCATTGGTAGAACTGATTCATGCGTCAAAAAATTTGACAAGGTCTGTAGCAGTGTAAAACCACACTGTTTATAGGCTATTGACTACGTCAAAAAAAGAGGGTACAAAGGAACTACAACGTAACACAAATTTTATTGTTTGATATGTTCAATTGACCCTAAAAAATGATAAAACCGCGGAGTGCTACCTTTTAAAGGGGTGCGTTTTTGAGAACGAAGTAAAAAGGTGGTATTTTCAGTTTTTTGAGTTTTACTAAAAAACTATGAATTTTTTCTAAATAGTTGTCAACAGAAAAGTAGCAAATTGAATTTCCAATCGAAATGAGACCTTTTAAAGTCAAAAAAAAAATATTTTTAACAAAAATATGCCCAAAAAAACGAGTAAAAAAACGGAAAAAATTAATATTGAAAATATACTAAATGAAACTGAAAATTTATAAGATATATATGATTAACTGTTGTTTAAATAAATAAATAATAATATCCAATCACCTAGAAACTTATTTTAACTTTCACATTCTCAAAAATAAATTTATTAGACAAAATAATACCGAAAGTAATAAAAATTTTATAAAAAGAAAAAAAGTATCGTTGGTTAAATTGACATATCTCGGTTGATTTTAATTGTACAAACTTCTACCAGGCACCATTTTGAAGGTCTTGAAATCACCTTTCATTTACATACACCTAAATTAACTCAGAAAAAAGTTATAAGACGAAAATCGTCAAAAAAGGGCAAAAATTGGCCGAAAATCCAAAACTGATCCAATGTATCTCGGTTTCTATTAGTCGTAGGTACTTCTCTAAAGGCTTATTTTAAAGGAAAACACATTAACTTTTTTTTTCTGTGAAGCAATGCCTATACCTAACTCCTTTCAGAAAAAAGTTGTGGGCCAAAAACCAAAAGGAAAAAAAACGCATTTTTTCGTTTTTTTTACTCGTTTTTTGTGAATATTTTTGTTAAAAATATATATTTTTTTGACTTCAAAATTCATTTCGATTGGAAATTCAATTTGCTACAACTTTTCTGTTGACAATTATTTAGAAAAAATTCATAGTTTTCGAGTAAAACTCAAAAAACTTAAAATACCACCTTTTTACTTCATTCTCAAAAACGCACCCTTTTAAAAGGTAGCACTCCGCGGTTTTATCATTTTTCAGGGTCAATTGAACATATCAAACAATAAAATTTCTGTTACGTTGTAGTTCCTATCTAAAGTACATAGTCAATAGCCCATTACCAATAAATTCATGAAGAACTTCGTCAATTTATTCATGAATGTCAATGTAAAACAGCTTTAATAATTATTTATGAAGCAAGTCATATTGTTTACTTCCGGAAATCTTATGGTAATTGCAAGACTCTATTGACGGTTGGCGATAAAAAATATTACGCGTTTTTAGGCGATATCTATTCTGTAGATACTTTTTAGATTTCCTAAAATAAGTACCTACTAGATAGGCTATTGATTATGTCATAAGCTATGGAACTACAACGTTGATGGGTTTTTATTGCATGAATCGTTCAAATGGTTATTTACAATGAAAAAACCGCGTAGTGCTATTAAGTCAGAGGGTGGAAATTGGAGATAGGGGTGAAAATGCACCCTTTCAGTTTTTTATTTGTAGCTCGAAAACGAGGCAAAATTTCGGTATAGTTCATAGGAAAAATTATTTAAAGAATTGAATTTCCTATCGAAATAGCTTATTTAAAAAAATTAAAAGGAAAATTTTATGCAAAATAATCGTTAATAAACAATTTAAAAAAAAGCACAAAATTCGATTTTCTATTTTTTTTTACTTTTTTCGCCTCTAATTTTTTTTTTGAGTAAATAGAGGTATAGGCATTACTTCATAGAAAAAGAAATAGATAAAATTTCTTTTAAAACAAGAGGTTGTAAAATATTTTTGGATGAAAATTGACTGATATATGGCCGCTCAAACTTAACCAATTTTTCGATTTTCATCGCGTTTACCCTTGTTCTCATTTTTTGCAAAAAAGGAAGGAAATAAGACGTTCAAGGGTCATTAAAAATGAAAAAGACCGCGGGGTGCTATTAATTAGAGGGTTGAAATTGAAGATGGGGGTGAATATATATTTTTGCAGTTTTTTAAATATAGCACGAAAACGAAGCAAAATTTCGGTATAGTAATTTTGTAGAGAATTGAATTTCTCATCGAAATGGCTTATT